CTGCACATTAGAATCACCTGGGAATCTTTTTAAAATCCTGATTCCTGGGCCTCATCCTCTGGAAATTGTTTCTTTGTTATGGGGTGGGGCCACAACATTAGTAACAAAGAAACAGAATTAAAACTTTATTGTGGGGAGCTGCTACAGTGTTTTGGACAGATTCAAGCCTTGGACTGATGAGAGGGCACAGTCCTCTCATTGCCACGTGCAAGTCCCAGCTTGGAGAGCAGGGCCCGCCCAGCACAATGATAGCCAACAGCTGTAGTTGTAAGCTTGAACCTATGGTCCAAACACGTGACCCCACGTGCCTGAGTGAGGTGGGCTTGATAGAGTTCAGGTGCATGTAGTTGAGTAGGATTGAATCCCAGGAGAATGTTGTAAACATCTTGGTCACGCCCTTACTTTGCCTCATAGCATCTGCTATAAAATAAAGGCATGGCTGTGGGCATGGTCGCTGTCTCTCAGAGAAGCAGCGTCCCACAAAGACCTGGCTTTCATTCTCTTGTCTGTCTTTTCTAAGCCTTTCAGCTGCCCCACTCAGTTTCACCCCCGTGCTGGCACAGCACACTTTAGAAAGATCTGCCTCCAGGCTCCCAGGGCGGGTTCCTGCCTCAAACTCCGCCCTTACAGGAAACAGCTCCGGGAAACAGCTCGGGGCAGGGTGCAGCCATTGCCAAGATAACCCCTGTAGGACTGACTTCCTTCCACTCGGTCTCAGCTGTTTCTACGTGACGAACACCACCCATCGTTTTTAGATAGATAGATAGATAGATCAAACCTAGGTTGATCCTAGGTAGCTGGGTACTCAGATACATAGATGTATAAGTTGTTACACAGATACTCAAATTGATAGTTACATAGATAAATACATAGATGCAAACATGGATATAGAGATAGTTACAAAGGTACTTAGTTACATAAATACATACTGGGGTACATACATAGATATACAGGTTGTCAGATACATAATTATATAAATATAGAGAGTTGAAGAGATATTTAGATAGATACACAGATAGTTACATAAATACATTGATATTTAGATACATAGTTATAGAGATAGATACACAGATTATTAGATAGATACATAGTTCCATAGATAGATATAAAGACACAATGATAGATACTGAGATACATTGAAACATAGACAGACCATACAGGCAGGGAAACTTAATGGCTTGTCATCTGGTCCTCACAAGCTGACTGTCCCCAAACCACACATTTCCTTTGGAAATGCTTCAGTTTCTCACCTGCAAAGGGGAAACCATAGACTCTCCTGGCACCTCCATGCTGTTACTGGGGCAGCACAGGGAGTGGAGGAGGACACGGGAAGGACTCAGCCCACCCCCTCATGCTCTGCAGGGCAAGTGGCACCGGGCTCAGGCTCGATGCCCTGGTATCTGTGCCCCTCTGTGCCCAGTGACCCTGGGCTGCCACCCACACACTCCCCTGCCTCCAGCTGCATCTGACTATTTCTAAACTGAAAGCCTCCAAATCCACTGAAGCAAAAGCACTCAAGAAAGTGTTATGTTGGTGGGCGGGGCTTCTGGGAAGGTTGAGTTTGCAAAGACCCAGATGGGTCCAGGCTGGTGGCTGGATTCCCGTCTAGATGCTGATGGGCGTCCATGGGTCCATTTAGCATTTAGGGCACAGAACACAGACACTGTCCTAGGGAAGGTGGCCCCATAGCCTCCCCCCTCACAACACTGAGGCGCATCCTTGTGACCTCCCAGGGGAGGGCCCCCCAGGAGGAGGAGACAGAGGAGAGTCAGGACCTGGAGGGAAAGGCCTGAGACTCCTCAGCCCCCAGCCCAGGGATGGCTGTGGAGGCTGCAGCCCCAGGCAGGCCCCAGGCAGAGCTGGGCCATAGAAGGGCAATGGTGGGGGAGGGGAGGATGGGGAACATCTTAAATATTGATAACAATATAGACAAGATCATCAGAAGGGGGAAATGTGTACTATCCATTGGCATTTTGTCCATTCACTATCCTGTGCAACCATTGCTTCTACTTCATTTTAAATTATTTTCATCACACCCAATCCCACAAAAGAAATGGGGTGCCCATTGTATCCGTGCAGGTCTGTCACAGACACAGGACCAACAGGCGTGTATATACAGAGAGATGTATGGGGCAGGATTGGCTCACACAATCCAGGAGTCTGGCAAGTGCAAAACCTGCAGGGAGGGCTGGTGGTTGGAGACCAGGGGAGCTGCTGCTGCAGCTCAAGCCCCAGGGAGCCTGCCCCCAGCATCCAGGGTCAGTCCTGTTCTCTTCAGCCCATGTGAGGAGGCCCACCCACCTGATGGAGGGCAGTTTGCTTCCCTCCCATGTCTTAGAGGCCCTGGGGGCTGGGCTGGGGATCATGGTGATACCCAGAACAGCGAGCCCAGATTTATTTCACAGGATCGAGTCTCAGGAACCCTAAGAATAAAATCTCAGACCAGAAGATTGAAGCAAAAGTGGGGAAACTTTATTGCAAGCAGATTCAACCTCCCTGCATGGGGAGTGGACTCAGTTATGGTTTCCAATGAAGCCTGTGGTCTAGGGGTACATATTTGCTACAAACCTGCTCTCTATCTCCCCCTGTGGCCAGCTGATTGATTCTCTCAATTGTTCTTGCCCAGAAGCA